TATATATATTTAAAGATGTATTTATTTGTGCATACAGAACTGGGGTACAGGTCAGAGGCTCAGGGGCAGCGAGAAGCTTCACCAGAGACAGAGTGGGGAGCAGAACAGGTAGATCGATGAAGTACACTGCTGAGGGGAGCAGCGGGCAGGTCAGGAGAGGTCTACCACGCTGGGAATAGAACTCATGAGGAAGTGGCTTTAGCTTCTTAGTGCTGTGCTTTAACCCGCTGCACCACCAGGGAGGGCCAGACCTAGATATTTTAATGTCTTTGAAAATAAGGTTAAATGTTTAGAAAAGAGTTTAAGAGAAAAATAAGCAGTAGTAATATTTGTCCCATAGAATTTTCCTCATTTTATGGTCGACACTTTTTACATTATATGAATCTCATGAAATCAAGCAACTTTCACTTGTATGACCTTCATGGATATATTTGTGCAAACAAAGAATAAGAGATATTGAAAATTTAGAATTAAGTCTTTTTTAAGGTCGTGGGACAAATAAGTTTTCAGATGCCTTGAGCCCCGATGTTTATTAAATTCACATTGATGGGGCTAGTATAGTGCTCTCTGTGCCTGATGTTCCAAGTATAATTGCAGCTCTGTTCCTCTCAGGGATGATGGTCAAGGCAGGAAGATCGAGAGTGCATATGCATCTTCGTTCTTAATCAGTGACTTAGTGCGTCATTGACCAGATGGTAAAAAGCCCGAGACCGGCCAGTGGTGAATTCATTGTCCCGTCTGGAAGGAAAAGCGCCTCTCAGCTCAATTCACATCAAGAAGTTCCTTAGAGCTGGTTTTGTTTTTCATACAGTTGCCCCATTCGTGTCTCAGAATCAGCCTTCTGTTACCTTTATGGGGCTGTAGAAGCCGACTCTTTTCTGGAACGGCTGCTATATTTATTCCAGGAAGGACCTTTTAATTACCAGCTCTCCTTCCAGAAGAGAGGACGTACCAAAGATAGCACAAACTTGGTGAAGTTGTGGGTGAACTCCTAATTATGCTATGGGGACGCGTGAGGCGGTCTGTGCTGAAGACAGTCCTTTGAAACTGATGCAGAGGGCAGAGTGCAGTTGGGCTCCTCTGTTATTATTTTGCTGTTTTGATGTGGGAAGCAGCCTGGACCATAGTGAGCCGGGGTGTGTGTGTGTGTGTGTGTGTGTGTGTGTGTGTGTGTGTG